AGGAATGCCCAGCGTGTCCTCTGAGCCATGAGTAGGTGCGTGTGGAGGACAGGCCCTGCCAGGTACTGGGAAGCATGCGGACCCTCTCCCTTTCAGAAATAAGCAGAGGATGCACTTTGCCTTGAAGAGTTTGCTGCAGGAGGCCCAGAACAACTTGAAGATATTTAAGGTAAGAGCCACTTCCAGTTTACGGCAGTTCCAGGCCAGCCGCAGGGGAACCTGCTGTGCTTATTCCTGACTGTGGGGTTTCAGTGACTGCATGGCCATGGGCAAGCAGTCCTGTGTGTCTGGCGCACCCTCGGGGTCCTTGGGTCCTGCGGTCACTCGCTCATTGCGCTTGTTAGCTCAGCCCTTCCTGCCCGACTCTCCAGCTTGCCTGTCCTTTCCCAAGCACCACACTGAGTGACCCCAGGTCATCAGTGGGGCCAGGCCGTGTGACATCGAGGCCCCCCACAACTGGACAGGCCACGGTCTCTGAGTCATGCAGACAAGCGTGGGACCTCTGACACGTCCAGGCTGGCATCCTGGCCCAGGGTTGCCCAGGTTGTTGACCAAGGAGGGGTGAGGAAGAGAGGGGTAGCAGGGAACGGCGGGGAGAGAGTGAGTGAAGGGTAGTGCAGTGAGGGTGGATATTGGTGGAGACAGGCTGGGGAGGGGACAGTGGCAGCAGTGTCTGGGTTGGAAACGAGTCCCCTGGGACGACTCCTGAGGGTTTCCATTGTCATACCCCATTCTGGTCCCATCCTCATGAACTGTCACCTGTGACAGCTGTGGCCAGCGTCCTGGGCTCCCTGAAAGAGCCGACCTTCTGGCAGCCACTGCAGAGGCAGGATTCCCACGAGGACGCAGGAGGGGCTGAAGCCTGGGTTGCTGTCTTTCTGTGCCTGGGCCTGGCCAAGGTGACCATTCAAGTAACCAAGGAGTCCTGTTCTTTCTCCAGGCACTTGGGGCTGGCACCCTGCCATCTGCTGGATGCCCTCAAAAACGGCAGGGTGGGGCCTGGGTCCCACCCACTTCCTCTTTGCTCCAGGGGTCAGGGGTCCAGAACTCCCAGAGCTCTGATGTTGAGGTGTGGGGAACGCGGCCTGGGTCTTGGTGGCTGGATAACTAGGCTTGTGAGGTGCAGACACTGCCACAGAGTCACCACTGTAGCTGGGCCCCAGGGCCACTGTAGTGTATGTGAAATGCTGTCCACTGGATCCCATGCAATGGCCCGTGCATCCAGACCACAGCAGGGAGAGGCCTGCCTGCCCGAGGAGAGGGCCCAGCTTCACAAGCCCAGGCGACCTGCCCTGCCCTGCCTGCTGCCCAGCCCACCTCCTGGCTACCCGTGTGGCCAGCTGTACCTCAACCTGTGGTCCTGCGGCTCCATACCCAGATGGGGGCTCCTGTGAGAGAGGAGAGCCTGACCACACCTCTCGAGAATAGGGATGACCCGTGTGTCAGCTGCTGGCAGCGATGCGAACTTGTCTCAGGCAACCCCTGATCACCTCAGGGTTCTGGGCCCTGGCACCAGGGGCAGCTCAGTGGCAGGCCTGGTGACGTCGTGGGCGTCCTCTCAGCAGCCGAAGGAAGCCACAAGGCCTTATAGACTTAGGCCCGCAGGTGACATGCTGGCGCCCCCACCTACCCAGGCAGGGACTCCAGAGGTCCGGGGCTCTGGTGCCATCAGGAGCAGCCATGCTGGCTCATGGAAAAGCAGGTTTAAAGGAGCAGGTCATTCCTGGGCTCTGGCAGGGCTCCGGCACTGCACAGCCCATCACAGCTCTGGCCGGCCCATGTGTGTGGTAGCCGGTGTCCCTGCCTACGCCCTGGGGACGTCCGAATCCCAACGCCAGTGCCCAAGGGCACCTCTGGAAGCAGGTTGGTCTTGAACACGAGGGTTTTCGCACTGGCGACACAGGCAGCTTCTCCCATCATGGCCTGCCTCAGGGACTGCAGCCCCACACGGGTCCCCCCGCAGCCTGGCCTGGAGCCGATGCACTTGGTGCTGAGTCGCAGGACGAGGCCTGGGGAGCTTATGGCAGCTAGTCTGCGTGGTGCGTGCCAGGCCAGGCACTGCTTTCTAGTCCCACTCAGGGGATTTGGCCCTTGGCTGACGGCAGGGTCCCCAGAGGGGCTGGGGTTTGCGACAACCCCGAACGTGGCACGTCTGTAAGGCGGCTCTTCCAAGCTGGTTGGTTGATGTCTGCCTGTCTCTCTTTCACTTGAAGAACGGCGAGCTGATTTATGGCTGCAGAGATGCCCGCAGCCCCGCGGCTGACTGGGGCGAGCTCGCGCACCACCTGAAGCCCTTCTTCTTCCCTTCCAACGGCCTGGCCAGCGGGCCCCACTGCACGAGGGCTGTGATCCGGGAGCTGGTGCGTGTCATCACCCGGGTGCTGCTGAGTGGCTCCGACAAGGGCCGGCCGGGTGCCCTCAGGCCAGGGCCTGTGCCTCGGGGCCCACGTGTCTGTGAAGCC